TTGGTTAGCAGGGTGACTGATTTCATTGATACTAGTGGTTGTTTTGCAACATTCCCGAGGGCCAATGTCACTGGGGTGCTGTATTGCAAATCAGCATTGTTAATAATAATGAGTTTGACAGTTTTGTAAGCGGGATGGATCGAAACGGCCCATTTATGCGGTGCATACTTATTAACGCTATCATGAATCAGAAATAATCACTATGTACGTACTGGTATATATAAAATGGTGTGAATGGTCCACCAGGGTATCAGGTACCTGTGTGGTTGCAACACGGGATTGAGCCGTGCTGTTCATGTCAAAATGCTAACACGTGAGCAGTCTCCTTGAATCTCCTGGAAACCAATGTAAAATTGCCTTTGACAGTAGACGGTTAATTTCTATAAAAATTTGTGAATCTTATATCAGTGCATGTGGGCAGCTGCTGACATACATTTCACTGGGAAAATGCTGAAATCCTGAACGGAAGAAATGCCAAGAACATTAGATAACTTTGATAAGCTTGGCTTCAAGCTCTGTCAGCAATCAACAAGCAAACTGAAGTCGATCCAGTATACCAAACAATTAAAAAAAATCATGCACACTTGTGAGATTAAGAATAAAATGAAAGGGAGTTATAACGAAATTATAGATGAAGATAGTGACATGTTTTAAGTCAACAGGCCGAATTGTCAATCATATATAGATAAATTCTAATACTTCACTTCTAGCTGAATTTTAAACTGATAATGTTGTTTAGCAGAACAATGAAAGCTCCACGATTAAGACATCCAGCTCAGAGAACGAAACTCTAACAAAAAATAAACGATTGATCATAAACCATTATGTACAATTTTATCAGTTAGTCTCTAGATAAAATTGTTTGCACTTGGAGATTGGTTTCTCATCTCAACTATTGAAATGGGATATTAAAAGCTTCTCTTGAAAATTTCAAATCAAGATAAGACTGAGAGAATTTCGAAAACTCATAAAAACAATCCATATTTTTTAAACTTGTTACTGGGTAATAAAACTTCATCGCGTTAGCATTGTAATTATGTTAGTTGATCTATATAGCTAAGTCGAATATTTATAAAAGTAAACAGAAATTGTCAGCCATTCATCTTGATGATACTATCCATCTACTTATTCTGTAAAACTTTTAAAATAAATGAATTATTTAATACAATTAACATTTAATAAAAAGTTTTATTCATTTAATGATAATCATGATTATCATAATAAGTAGCATGAATGATCATGATTAAATAAATGAGCTGTTTACATAGTTTAAAATAAAAAAAAGAAAAAGAAAATATGCTTTTGGTTAATAATCAGTAAAAATAAGCATGATTAATCATTTAATTTTATTACATTTGAATTTTTTTTTTGGTTTGTGTAAGCATTCATTTTCAATGTATTTTTTTTCATGTTTGAATTAATATAATTATTAATATTTTGTATTCTGTGACAATGAAGTAAAATTCCTGTCACTAACTATTTAACAAAATGATATGATTGTAAACTGTTGATTCTTACTTGACGTTTTAAATGGAAACAATTAGATATAACTATATCAAGACGTTTGGAGAATGTTCATTCTCAGTCAGTCAGTCAGTCAGTCAGTCTATCTGAAGTTTGTGCTGATGATGTTGTTCAGAAGAACAATGAAAGCTCCACAACCAAAAAATTCAGCTTAGAGGACGAAACACCACCACAAGCATCCACCTGAGCTACAAATGTTTCCCCACTAACTCAGAGTCAGTCAGTTACCCAGCTACAACGTAGAACTTTATACGTACGTACATTACTTCAAGTTGCCATATCAAATAAGCACAGAGACAGTTGCTAGTTCAAATATCACAGTTGTAGAGCTAGTAACAGTATAAGCAATAATAGAAAATATTAGGGTTAGAAGATATGATTCTAGAAGTATATAATCCGGTGAAATAGATTGAAAAAAGGTGATGAGACATACATAAGATTAAAATTTGAGAGAAGACAAAGAATGAATACACCTGAGCCATTGCATTATTTATTATAATTGTTATACCTTGACTAGTATTAGAATTAAGCTTATGTCTAGAATATGCTTTGAATTGTTCACTATGGCTATGTCAATTTTTCATTGTGGATAATAACTGAACTCTCGATTTCTTGAAAATTTAAATGTCAACTAGTAGGAGTACATACTGTTTCTACTATTCATTGAGATTATATGTAAGCGTAAAAAAAATGCGTAGCTCAGATTGTTTTTTTCAACCCAGTAAGTTATAATATTCTACGTTTAACAAAGTAATTGCACTATGATTTTACGTCTTGTCTTGATCTACTTACTAACTTGATAACTTCATTTGTAATCATAGGCCTCGCATTTTATCGGATCAAATAAAACTTTCATCACTTCAATTTTATAGTTTATTATTAGTTAATTTTATCTCTTAATATCCCACCACATAAAGAATATAAAATAACTTAGAAATAACACTCATCAAGTATAGGTTTAAAGTACTTGGGTTTGAATTACAACTTTTTGCAAAGTTCAATTAAATATTATCGGGCTGCCTAAAAAGAAATTGAGACATGCTGGTTGAAAATTAAGTTCTTCAACTATGAAGCCATCACACTGTACATGAAATAATTACTCTAGGTGATTCTTTTTTCTTAACCGAAACATTAAGCTGATCAACTTTATTTTCAGCTTTCTTTAACTATGTTCGAAAAAATGGTGTTGAACAGAACTGTGAATGTATAAATCTTTCAAAAATGTCATTTATTTAGAACAAGTGATTTTATTGCTTAAAATGTGTTAAGAAAATAATAAAACTATTTGATATTCTACATTATGGTTGTATTTGGCATAATAATAATAATAATAATAATAATACATTTGAGCTTTGTTCTTAAATATTCTCATAAATACTTTTTCGAAATTCTTGGCTTAAATTTAGTTTTCATTGAAAAGAATAGAACATTTTTTTCATGATTTCACATATGTAAAATGAATTTAAATACTCATCGTAATTTATAAATGATAATATTAAAAACAAAGAAAACTTAAGATGATGCCGATCATACTGATTGTATTCAACTATCAAGAGTTTTCTCAATATACCTTGGATGAATGACTCAATTCAATACAATAAATGATAAAATCAATTCTGTTCTAATTACTGTATATCTGTTGCTTCTCTGTAAAAGTGTGAGAAATTTGTTCTATTACTATAACTGAAGTAATAATAGTTATATCAATGATTAATACAATAATTTTGGTATTACAGATTCAATCAATAATTTCAATGAATACGTGTAAACTTAATAATATATTAGATGATAGAAATTGCCAGCTTGAGAAACATCATTCTCTTAGTTGTCACTAAGACTGTTCTTTGAGAGTGTATGGATATTTTTCTGTTATGGTCTGATGTTAATAAATCGTCTTTGTTTTATGAGAATACTTTAGACTCCTTTGGGGGGTTTAAGCCTCATATTTGTATGAGCGATCTCTGTGAAAAACATTTCAGTTAGCCTTTTTTTTGAGTAAAATTAGCTCCGCATTGACGATGCATCAAATACGTAAAGGAAGGAAGAGATCATTTAAAGAAGCTTATCAAAAAAGAATATTTCATCTAGGTTTTCTCTGTGAGAACAAAGGTGTTGAAAAAAGATTACTTCGCTCATCAGCATTCCTGTTCTAATGACATGATGACCATTTTTCGCTTATTTTATATGTGCATAAACGTTTATTTGTTCCATATCATTCCGTCAATGGTTTTATTACGACAATCGATAATTTATCTGCTATCTGAACATTTATTGTTTGGATATTTTACAATATCTAATAAGTACAATATGAATTAAGGGTAATCAAATATACTTTAGACTTATTGGTTGTTTTAGATATGATATTTAGGTGGTATAAATATAATATAAAGACAATTTACTCAGAATCAATTAATGCGTAAACTCGAAAAACCACTTGAAACAAGCAATAAAAGTACCTTTACAAAGTACTATGCATCAAAAATCTGCTTTTGTCACTATCGAGTACAAATAGTATTCACCAAATCAAATAATTACCTCTTTTCGTTTAGATTTTTTCTTACAGGGAAATCAACATCATCCCTATATCTCTAAATCGTTAATCTTGATACAAACCTTATTCTGGTAGCACTATACTTTATTAACGAACTATTTAAATCGGAGATGATGCATGGTAGATTTTTCATAGAGTTTCGTTTATTTTTTTTTGATATTTACAAAGTGTTTTTTTAGATTATAGCTGATGATGTGGTGATAACTCTGAGGAAAAACCTTCAAACATCATCCCTAAATACTTGCCTGAAAATTGTGTTGCAAGACATAAAAACTCAATGAGTCTTCATAAAAATTTGAGATTGCAATTAAACTGTTTTTATTTAAAAGAATTTACATATCAATACTTTTTCAATTTACAGACAGAAGTAACCTGTAAAAGATCATAATAATTTCACTAAATATATACAATTTGTTTACACTGTGGAAGGGTAAGAACTTGCTGTAACCCATTTGCTGTTGTTTTAAACCCTTCTCTAGGCTATACTCTCACCTGTTTATGTAACTTATAATATCTTCAGTGTACGATATTGATGAGATAAATTTTTATTGAAATTAGTCCAAAGCACCAATTTATTCTGTCTAACTCCAACAAAAGTCCCAGTTATATTGAATTTAATTATCCTTGTTATTCAGTTTGTTGAATATAAAAATTCATGAAAAGCTCATCAATAGCAGCTCTAGAATTAAGAAAATGATATTTAATCTGCTTGAAAAAGTATTCAAGCTGATATTTTCACAGTTGATTTTGAGATAAAATTATGATAATTATGTCATCGATTGAAGTTCTTTGTGGTAATTTTACACTTATTAGTGCTTACAAGAAGATAAGCAGAATCTGAAATATCAAAATCAATTAATAGCATCAGATGAAAATGAACATGAGCTGATTGTAACAACAACAACAACAACAAATCTTTGTGAAACTAGATATGATTTTGTGAACAATGTAGCATAGAATAGTGTGTGACATCAAAGTTTGGATCTAGTTGTTTACTCTTCATCTCATTTAAAACTTTTTTCATAATATAATACTCTGTACAGTCATATGCCATCGGTTCAAAATCATCATGAAACTTGTTAGCGAAAAATTCTATTCCTGATGTTAAATACGGAAGGTCATTTATGCCTATAATACAAACACCACGACGTACTCTGGGACTTTTGCAACCTTCATGAAACCATGTTACATAACGGGCTATAAATTTTTTCCTTGAATCTGATTTATTGGTACGATGAATTTCATTACAAGCACCAGGTGCACCAAGTAGTGGATTATGAGTTAGTGTAGGAAAAAATAATTCATCTGGATGTTTTTTTAAATGTTTTTCTGCTTTGATTGCTTCGAGTAATTCATTTGCTTTTTGATCAGTTTGATAAAATTGAACAAACTCCCGTTTTAATGCCATGTAAAAACTCCCCTTGTTCCAAATAATCTGGCGAAGAAAAAATAAATTCATAGATAATATGATTTTTCTATACATATATATTGATAAGCAAACAAAGCCGTATAATATTATATATTTTAATGTTACAAAATCTATTCATATAAGGATAAAAAGTGATTAAGTATAGTGTCTTCATCCTTATCCTACTGTTCATGCTGGTGTTCGACATGCCCGTAAGTAGTTTGAATACAGAGTAATATTAAAAAGTTAAAATATATGAGATTTAGTTCTTATTATCACAGTGAATGGCGTAATATACACATTTTTTTTATAGATAGATAGATAGATAAATCGTTTTAACCTTCAAATAGAGTTTTTCTCTCAACGAAAATCTTCAATGAAGTCACTGTGTCGCTTAGCATTCCAACAGCGGATAAGTGCTGACTTCAGACACATAATTCATTGTATTTCTTCGGTAAAAAATACATTATTTAATAGATTTTAAAGTAATAAACATTTGTTTTGAATGAAGCAGTGATAAGTTATACATGGCACACGTAATATTTCATTTTTTTAAAGAAAAAAGTTGTAGTTTATATATATATATATATATATATATATATATATAGATATATAGATATAATTGATATTCGAAGCATGATTTATGTATATCCTAATCAAAAAAAAATCGATGGCATCCTCATCTCTGTCTCTAATATCTTAAATGAACTCATTAAAAAAACTGCCGCATCAAACAGACTACTATAATGATGCTGACTGAAAATCAATTGAAAAATTACATACAAATGTAAGTATTATGAAGATCAATTCTATTCGTTTGATATTGACAGGTTTCATCAAATAACCAATGTTTTAATAATTATGACAAAACAAATTAACTTATTGATATGTTTAATCTGAAATCATGTGTTTGAAACCAGCATAAATTTTTAAACTGCATTATTTCATAAAATTTCAGATGGCGTTTTAAAGTTTAAACCCCTATTGTGGATTGACTTGGACAGTTGTAGGACAAACGCCTTTTATACCTTCAAGTATAGATGCATAATAATTTTACGGAAGGAAGTTAAGATAAGAATGATTAATTTCATATTGTAGCCTGGTTGGAAAATTTGTGATTATTAATTCAGGTTTTAGAATTAGTTAGTTGTAAGTTAATATTATTTAGTATCCAATCAAAAAATCAATTGATAATCTCCACTTTTTTTGGTTCTATAACAGAACTCTTCAGTAGTACATGCTCACATTGATAATGGGCAGTCGTAGTCGCTTTTAAGCTTTGTTCAGAGTGAAATAGTTTTATTCGATGCAGTTGTATAATCTTACCGCGAAATCGTTAATCGATTAGAGTTGAGTAAATGGACAATTGAATTTCAACCTAATGGTTTGAAAGGTGATACGATCTCAACAAGATATGAAGATCATGACGACTTTCCAAGGCCAGGTAGGTCATGAGTGCACACTCTTGAGGATTTTAATACTAGTATGAAACAGCTATCCACTTCTGTCTAGTTTTGAATGGTATTTTAATGGATGTTCATGCTCGAAGACTATTTCCAACAGACTTTGTATTATATACTTTAGTATGGACAGATGAAATTTTCAATTACAAAATAAGGATTGTACATTGACTGTTGATGAGAACAGTAGGTTGTCAGTTTCTAATTTAAAGTAACTTAAACTTATAACCAAAAACTTTTTAGAAGATTTAAGATCTAAATTAGACGAAAGCAATAATCATATTTCAGACGTTACTGAAACTTACAATGCCTGATCGGTAATTATAATTTTACTGACATTAAATTGAGATTTTGGTTTTCAATCTACTCACTGAATGGAATAATTACAATGTATTAAATATTTTTAAAATAGTACCGGTAGACTGGCATGTTGTTTTTGTAACGGGAGTGTTAAGAAAGAAGAGGTCTGACCGAAAAGTATCTGAATATATAATCCATCATGGATTTTTAATATGATGTAGTGATGAGCACTGGTACCATAGAATAATAAAGTAGGGAAATTAATTTTAGATCTCTTAAAAAAAGCATGAATAAAATCTGACAAATAATTATAAACACTATTAAGTCGATTGGAATCCTAATCAGTAAGTTTGGTTAACTTCCTGGAATAAAAAACAGTCAAATACACATATGAAAAACAAACAATTGAATTATACATGAGGCTTAGCAAACATTCAGAATTGTAGCATTGTTATAGTATTAAAAATTGTCTGCTAAATCATTATGTCACTTCAAGCTGGATAAATTTGATGAAATCTCATACGGGTATTAATTTATTAATATAATTCAGCAGAATATATACATAATGATATTATGTTACCATAGATCCGATTACAAAAATGTTTATTTTATTCAAACTATACATTTACTATAATGCTACTAGTTTAAGTTGTGAAAATCAAGGCTGTTAATAATAGCCTCAACTAGGCATACTGTGTTAATTTTTGGTGATATAATAAGCTTCAATAAGGATAACCATTATCGAAATATGTGACAAAACTAATACTTACGGGAAATGATAATTTCTTTTTAGGCCAACGTGATGGGTTAAACTTTGGTCCTAAGCCTTCAACAACATTTGACCCGTTTATTGCTTTCAGTGCTGCAACCAATTCCCAGTTTGTCCTCAAAGGCAATTCTTGACCATTCACATTAAGTAGATATTTCCATGGATAATCAGTATTTTTCATTAATTTATCCGCACAAAGAAGAAACGCTTCAAGTATGGAATAATATCCCCACCGGATATTTATACTTTCCGATCGATTCAACACTATAACATTTAAACCAAAACATTTGGCCAACTCTAACACTTGGTCATAAAATTCGGTTGAGGATTTAGAATCAACATGAATACAATATAAATTGTGTGATCTGTATATCAGACGAAAGAGACGTGCCACTTGTTTGATATTAGTGTGAACAGATATACTGAATGCAAGAGGAAATTGTTTTTCTTCCATTGAGGATTGAACGATATGACCTTGGAACAACTTGAAATTTTCGCATGTAAAAGGATTTGAAAAAGGCAAATAGCTTTCTTTCCAATGTGAATGAATACTTTCAAAAACTTCATCAGTGGATTGTACAACTTTGTTTCGGAACAAATATTCACAAATTCTTTGAACTTCACTGTATCGTTCTGAGTGAAAGCGATTTAAATTGTTTTTGATTTCAATGGTTGAATAAAGCAAATAATAAAATATAAAGATTGATAAAATCAAAAAACTTCCCAATTTTACACTTTTCACCAGAATGTAATTACGAAATTTAATTAAGAAGACTTCAAACCGTATAGTAATCGTTTTTATTTCATGTGAAAGCATTGTTCATCGTTTTATTAAAAATACACATCAACTAATCACAATTTAACAAAACGAGTGATAAATTGGATTTAATTTCGAATATGAAAAAAATTTCGTGTTTTATATGATGTTATAGTATTGAAGAGAAAATCTATAAATTTATGTGGAACGAATAAATAGCTATTTAACAAATTCACCATAAACGAGTGGTATTATTTTGCACAAAGTTTGAGTTTTAAAAACCACACACACACACATACAAGTTTATCTCAGTGTTTGACCTCGTTAAGTCGATTTTCAACTATGCTCATTTGCTATTTATGAATTAGCACTAATATGTGAATGATTACAGAATATTATTCGCTTCGCTGACTGACATTATATATATAGCTGATATTAATCTTATTTAATTGGATGAATAAAACACTGTTTAAAGGTGCCCTCTGATTTGACAAATGAATTAATTTTTAGTTTACTCATTTGTATATAACATTTGTATGGAAGAAATTTGAAAAGAATCTGTTGGACTACACTTTTTATTTATGCTTCTGATGAGTGTATCCATATGTTTAAGTTTTGTGCACATTCTAGAAAAACATGTCAGATCCAATTCTAAACTAATTCAAACTTTTTTTGTGTACTTAGTATTCACTTAGTGTCTGTAGTACTTTTCCCAATTTGCAAATAACAATCAACTAATAAACGATGAACCATTTACTGTATTTACGAAACATGTGCTCATTGTTTAGTTGTTGCAATTTGTAATTTCTTGCACGCTGTTGTCTACCAATTTTCATTGTAGAAATAAGAAATTTGTAAACAGAAATCTCAAAAGTTATTGAGGGACTCGTCGAACTTTTGCTTCGTAGCATATTTTGTTTTAGAGACCACCGAACTGCAAAAGTTCATAATATCAAATGTTTCTGTCGTTTGTCATATTAAATTTATGAACTATCGCATTTTGGTGGTCTCTAAAATCAAAAGTTATTATTGGTTTTAGTTTCTGTTGTTTGAAATGAAGATGCAAGAAAATTGTGACTTTCAAGAAAGGTTATGAACTTAAATAACTGAAATAAACAATCTGACTATTGACGTAAATAATGAGAAACACTATCGATTTTTTAATTATTTTTAATCAGTTTTCGTCAAACTATAGACAGTTCTACCGATTTTCATATTCGTCAACTAACATGATACTGTTTGATAAATATGCATTTATAATAGTAATAATCCTTTTCTTGCTCCAATATTTTAAATCTGATACTGAATAAACACAGTTGTTGTATGTTAAGTTTGTTATTAGACTCAGAAATATGCTTGATTGCATCAGACTGTTTTTCAGATCTACCTGTGATTTGTAATTGCAGAGTTTAAATATGTGTATATTTTTCACCTGGAGTCCTTCCAGGGTCACTGCCATTCCCAAGCACGGATAAATAGGGAGGAGTGGGCATGAGGTTAGCCGTCGCTCTCGTAAAAAACCGATTTAATAAAAAAAATGGTAGCCCTTACAAATAATTCAGACCACTTAACCTTTGCCCTGGGAGTTATAAGGTCTTCATTCATAAGAATTATAAAGACTCATGGTCAAGGCTGTGTTCCTTCGGAAGTCACGAGTTCAATGTCCCATTTAGTAACCAGAGCAAATATCAATATAGGTACAGGGAGTTGCACTGATAGTGTTCAAACAAAGACAAAAGCACTGATAAGATGGGAATCTCATGGATCAAGGGTAATCAAAGTATTCTTCAAAAAAATGATCGAGGGCGTTTCAATGAACATCATTCAATACACCAACGGACGACTACAATGAAGACGTTAAAGATCAATGCTATGAGAAGCTGCAATCAGTCCTCGAGAAATTCCAAACAAAGGAGTTGAATATTCTAATGGGAGATCTAAATGCCAAAGTTGGAGTAGACAACAGTGGACATGAAGAAATGATGGGACAACATGGTCTGGAAGAAAGGAACGGTAACCATGAGAGCAAACCTATATGCTTTCTTTAAAAAAAACTGGTCATAGGCGGCACCACATGGCCAAATAAACGCATACAAAAAGGTAATTGGATTTCACCAGATCACACTAATCAGGAGAGTAATGAGGGAACAATATGATGGATCAGTTTCATCGATTTAATACGAAAAAGCACGACTATTGGTAAACAAAACACAAAACATTTTAGTATCCATTGAGCTTGAAATATATTCTTAACCAAGAGTTGATTCACTATTCATTAAATTAAAAAGAAGAAATTATGTAAACGATTCAACAATCTAAAAGTAATTTAGTGGACTTTTAGTACACCATATGTGTTTTACATATTTTTATTCTCGAATAAACATAAAACACGTATGATCGGATTACCTTACAAACTATTTCAAAATCATTGATGAAGACACCCTACATTATATAAAATTAAAAGAAATCAATAAAGATATATGAAACTTATTCTGTACATTTTGTACAATTATCTCGATATGATGATATTTAACAATGAATTAAGACGCGTTAATCTCACAGATAAGTGATTGACCATGGTTGAAATTTCAATAATTTCAACGTCTCGTTACATAAACTCATCTGAGCTTTTCTAGAGCAATAATGAAAACAAAATGATAAAAGACAATTGATGATGTTTTGATACTTGATATACAATTTCTATTCAACTACATGATACACAAATGTTAACAAATGTTCAGATAGAATAGTTCTATGTTAGATTTACCTATACCATTTAATTAGAACTATTACAATCATTATGAAATTCAATGTACTTCAGTAGTTCACTAAGTTATTACGTCTAAACACCAATATATAATGAAAAAAACCTCGATTGCAGATTGTTTTTTTGAAAAAAAAAAATAACATTAATCAGAAAGTAGTTAATTATAATAACTTAAAAATATCGTACATAAAACATCGTTACAAATATAGGAAATTGTTACAAGTAAATAAAGTCCAAAAAGTGAAATAGAAAAATCAGTAATTTAAGTAATGGGTTATTTTATCATTTACATTGTTCACTGTTTAACCATGTAATTAATTTATTCATGAAATTATTATTAATTATTTAATATTTACTGTTTGTCATCAATTTTCAATAGATTTTATTTTATGAATGATTTTATATGGTATTTTTTGAAAAATTTCTATCGGTTATTTGAAATGTATTGAAATTGTGTTGTTACACTGAATTTCGTAAGCATATTTACTTGTAGATTAAATCGGTCATTGTTTCATTTAATTGTTTGTCATTATTTTCTCTTCAGACTTATCGATCCATTTTGTGTAGATAGGTCACACATGCACACAATTAAACGTTTCCATAAAGACAAATCAATACTTCAAAAAATCAATCTATAATTTTAGAAATACATTGAGTAATCAATTAATCATAACATACTGTAATTTGGTCACGCATCAACAAACTCTGATTAAACTATCTGAATCATGATAAAATCTGAAATAAATATTCTTAAACTGACAAATCAGAATAAACTAACTAAAATTAATACTAAAGAGTTTGTAATAATTCAGTAGTGCGTAATAACAAATAAAATATACCAAGACACGGAGAACACAATTTGAAAAGAACAAACGAACACACTGAACAAAAATAGAGAATAATATGGAAACTGAGAGTTAACAATAAGATTAAAAACATTTGCATATGATCCATTAAGATCAATTTTCATACAAACATTTTCACTAGTGATCATCTAGAAAGTAATGGAATAATCAGAGTTAAGAAGTTTTTGACTAAAATATTTTATAGCTTGCTGAATTTGAATTCGAATATTTGAATAATTGGTGAAAGGACTTTCAAACCAACTAATCGAAATAAGAGTACAACAGTTAAACAATAATATTTTTGTAAATAGATATTTGATAAAGTACTCTTTAACCTTTCAGTTTATTGTATATTGTTTTAAGTTTAATTTAATCACGTATTATGTTCATTCATTTCGACGTTTTAGTCAATGCATAAAGGAATTTTCGTTGAAAATAAAATTTCAATGAGCGTTCACATTTTCAGATTGAATCATACTTTATTGAAAATTAATTGATGAAGTTTATTGATGAGGTTAAGATTAAGTTCAACCTATATCACTGATCATATTTTGACTGAAATATGAACAATCTTAGTCAGTAAACGGTATTAAGCTAGAGTACTGAAGTGAGTCGCAACTCTGATAGGCAGGTGTATAAAGATGGAGGGTCCTAAAAAGGACAAGATGTGAGTTGTACATCCTAGTCGCAGTCAAATTACATTTATTCCATATGAAAAGTAAAGAGATGATTGTTCTATTCGTACCGTTAAATGTACAGTTTAGGCATTTGAAAATTCTTATCATAATAATAGAATAAACGTAAATGTTATTGAAAACAAAATCAAAGATAACGAGAAAAAATGAAATATGTACACAAAATATTTCGAATGATCAGATGATTTAAGAAACATTCACATAAACAGACAATAAAATTAAAATATGACTATATTTTTGTAAATATGTAAATAGGAAGTTCAAGGAAGCTGAAATACATACAATATAAAAACAAAAGTCCGAATGTAAAACATACGTCAATTCAGCAATGAAGTAGTGAGATATGCATTGAACAATGCAGAAAACGTTTGAAAATTCCAACTTATAATATAACCAACATAGATAGTAGAACCACAAAGATTGAGCAGTCTCTACAACTTGTACCAGTGGATTTATATCAGTTGACAAAATATGGTTAAAAACAACATTTAATTAAAATGCACTTAAACTAAACTTACACAAACGGAAACTCATCATGTCCATTTTCATCTTTGCATTGAAACTTAACATGAACAAATCAAGTACTGATGGCACTGGAAAAGATACTTAATCATGGATAATTTTCGATGTTCGAAAGTGTGTTGTCAAAAATTATTTCGAGACTATAAAATTTTATATGAGTTATGTATCTGTTTACCATGATAAGAAACATGAGTAACCCTGTCATTATTCAATTTCTTTCTTCGGAAATCTTCCCAATCGAAGTCACAGAAAATATTTAATTGTACTAAAAACTAAATAACTGAATAACCATTGAAAACATGACAATAACATACATTCAAATATTACGGTATCCTCAATACCACCAGACATCTGGAATGGAATTCAACTATTTTAACGTCTAGTTCCAGTCATATCAGTCCGCGTTGGATGAAACTTTCGATGCAAATCTACACCGTAATAGTTTTAGTGATTTTACAACTGGCTTGATTCCTAATAAATATCAGCGTGGTAAAGTGTGGACACTCTCGTGGATCGTACATGCAGTCTAAACATCTACCAAAGTTCATTAACACAATGTTTCAGGTTACTGTGGCGTTGTATTCTGCAATAATAACCTATCACATTATTGAATGGGAGAAGTGAAAATCTTTAATCCAACTGTTCATTGAGTGCCAAAACACTTTGATATAACAAAATAATATATTTAAAATCCATATACGGGTGAGTATTTGCAAAATTTGATGGGTTCCATTTAAACTCCTAGTTTGTGGACGTAGATGATTGAAGTCATGCTCAGTTCACCCATCACTGAACCAAGTTTATCTAATACTAATCGTCCTCAGCATGAACGTCTCAGAATAATCTGACAGTACTCAAAATTTTACAGATCGAAAGAGAAACAACCTTATACTTCATATTCGATTGAAACAATTTCTATGCTAATGATGTTTAGTTAGAGATTTCACATTTTTCCAACACCTAATAATGTGTGTGCACTTGGATACTTGCTTATTTAATTAGCGAAGCCTGTTATCCACCACACAACAGGTATCTACAATGAATTCCGTGCTTCTCTTGACCTGTGGAGGTTTTCGTGATTCAGTCAACAATCAGAAGAAAGGAAAAAGATGAAAGTCTGGAGCTTTCTCCGACATCAGTCTACACTCGGAATGGGTTTGTGAGCAGGCCTGAATAACTAACTTCGGCATTCAATATCTCTCTGGAGTTCCGTATGTGGGTGAAGATCCTCCTGATTACTTCATTGTGTCTAGCGAGAAGTTTGATCCCCAGAACACACTTGGAAAATTTACTAATTTTTCAATTTTAATCTGAAGTTTTTCATTTCTATGTTTTCGTACCAGAGATGCTAAGTTGACCGTCAGCTTACATTTCCCAGTCGGAAAATTCTTACCTATCATTGGTTGACGGATTATTATATAAAGCTATTTCGTGTCTCTCCCGAGGCCGTTTCTATCATTGCATAAATAAGCTTGATTTTATGCTTGTTGATTGTAGAATACCTTCTCTACGCTTTCTTGATCTAGTTAGCAGGACAAGGGACAAACCGATTAGAATAGCCTATCTTGTCACTGTATCGTTGGTCTTCGTTCCGTTTGCCGAGTAAGGTGAACTCGTAATAGTTTCAAGCATATCAGTGTTGAAGAGGATTCTACAAAAGTTTTTATTCACAACTTTAAGATCATACACAAGAAATCCAGTGCATTGATGTCGTATTGAACAGTCTTTGTGAACTTTGATAATCCCGAATTACAAAGACTTAAGTAAGAGAAGGCTTAGCTTTCATAGGTCGATAGAACAATCGCTGTACGAAAAATAATCACAAATTCAAAAGTAAAATGTGTAAGGAAGTGAGTAAAAAGGCGCTAGTTCTGATTATTTCAGCGTACTTTCTCCTAGTGAATATGATATATTGGCGAGAAAATTGGACGAAAGCAATTCTATTAGTAGTGCATCTGGGAGAAATTAGAGTGGAATATCATTTTTACCATGAAATATGATCAGTCACAACCGTACTTTAATTCAATGATACCGACAACAATCCACTAAAATGAACGATAATTCTAATATACTTATTCATTTGATCAGAAAATGCGTGTATGGCCGCTTGTGGAGAAAATACTGGTAAATTCCCAAAATAACATTCTATCTGCACATTTAATTTAACTTCATCGAAAAGAGTTCAAAAATTACCGTTTCCAATATTTCAGCAAAAGTTTGAACAGCCAAACCTTTTCTACAAGGTTCTATCCTGACAATCCGTTCATAAGTTTGTGTTATTTCGATGCCAGTGTGAGAAATGTTTCGAATACATCACTGTGCACAGTAGAATGAAGGCTGTTCGTTTACACTCACATGTCTTTTATGTTTCAAGTTACACTACTTGATGTAATAAAGTAGTTGGAGTATATTTATTCATCTCCATGAACAATATGTCCTAGTGGATGTAACACATTGCTGCACCTATCATCTACTTCTATCCAGTTATCCTAATTTCTCAATGTATCAATTTATTAGTCTGCCTACAAGTATACATCTTAATTCTCTACGTACTTATTATCCTTCCAAATAATTACACAATTCGCAGAGTACACAACGATTTAGTAGGCCAATCAGAAGAAGAACAAATCAAGTACTGATGGCACTGGAAAAGATACTTAATCATGGATAATTTTCGATGTTCGAAAGGGTGATGTCAAAAATCATTTTGAGAGTAATAGATTTAATTGAAGATATTTTGGAATGTATAAATATACTTGATTACTGGTGCATGAATCCACTAGCCCGTTTGTCTATTTTCGCTAGCTCTTTTCTTCTTAATCTTTATTCTATTGCGATGATGGCCCTTAACAGATTTTGTGAGTGTCTGACCACCGATGTTACATGTCATGACAAACCACACCCGTTTATCGACTGTAAGCTAATTGAAACTCATGTGACTTTACTTTCTATCATTACTAATACTTACACGTTTGGTTGATGCTGATCTAATTCTGTCCAAAATTAATAGACGTGTGACAAATAACTAACCAGTATCTATTATTTGAAATAACCAGTTTTTTCGACTGTTGAAATTCTACATTATTCTGACAAACACTGAATAATATAATCAACTGTAATCGGAAATCTTCATTTCATGAGTGATTGGAAAATAATTTGGAAGGAATATTTTTGATGATTGTGATGGAAGTCATTGTTGGTTGAACATGGATTTCAGCATCAAACAAACTACAACATCCACTAGTAGTAGTAGTTAGGTGATCTTTGAACCTACGGACCTAGATCAACACACTAAAAACAACTTGATATTGAAAATCCCAAATGTGTATTGCTGTCCGTCACATTGTTCGCCATACTGCCGACCGGATACTGTAGTTGGATGTTTCCTAATGGATGATAAAATTGACTAGTGACCTTAATTCAAAGTGTAATCAATGATGTCAGGTTTCCAACTAGTGAGATGTAAGAATTTCGTTGTTGGTTGCACGATTTCCACTTTATTTTCTAGAACAATAATACAAATGCCTAACGCAAATGTGGCAGACCTAACACATCGGATCATAATCTTACTACAATTACTCAAATTCGACATTTAGAATTTCATTTATCAAGCCGACAATTATGACCACCGTGAGAATTGAATCTCTAATAAAATTATTAGACAGATCAAACTGCATCAAGCAACTAACTGATGTCCGGATGATTTCATGGGTGTTGAGTCTTAACAGAAATTGTTTCGACACTCCCATGAACAGAACATGATAAATAATTACCTTGAGAAAGAAATGAAGACGAATTAGAACAAGGGTTGTAAAATATCAATGATCAATCATACAGTTTCACAAAATATTTTCCAAACATTGTCCATCTTACTTGTCTTCAGTGTACGTGATCTTGTGAACAATAGAGTTGTGAGTAAAAGCTCACATTAAAATTTGGATTGAGTTGATGAGTTTTCATTTCGGTCAGAACCTTTTCCATAATATAATTCTCTGTACAATCATAAGCGATCGGTTCAAATGTTTCACTGAATTTGTTAGCAAATAGTTCCATTCGCTCCGGAATGTATGGAAGAATGGAGATACCAATAAGACATATACCACGGCGATTTTTTCCACGTCTACAGGGTCTATCGGCCCACTTCACATAACGTCCTATGTATTTCGCTCGCACATCTTCGTAGGAAGTCAGATATGTTTGATTGCAGGAACCAGGCGCACCAAGCAACGGATTGGAATTCAATGTAGAGAAAAACAACTCATCTGGATGCTTCATCACATTCCTCTCTGCTTTTAACGCATCTAGTATTTCCTTTGCCTTCGGATCGGTTTGATAGAAATAAACAAAATCCCGCTTCAATGCCATGTAAAAGCTGCCTTTACTCCAAATTATCTGGAAATTGTGAACAATATGGTTGGAAACTTGTGATTACTCTAATTCGATGATAGTAGGTTCAATACAAAATTGTAGAATGACTGAACTGAGTTTTAAAATTAGAGAGGCTTGAGTAAGAGTTTCGACAGTTTTGTGAACTTATCAATAATACGCATGCTCAACATCACAAATTCTCCAACAAACAATGTCCAGGTTCACTGAGGAAGAAGGAGAGAGTAATTAAGCTAACGTGTCACTAATTCGTTAGTACTACACAACCAATAAGTATTGTGAATGTTCAGAAAACAAACACCTGTTCGAAATACTAGATAACATGTTTAACTATGAAGTGTGAAAGATGTTGATAACACACATATCACACATTCATCTTGTTTCGATCAATTTATTTGAATGATTAAAATCAAATAAAACAGCACTATGTATAGTGAATGAAAACAAAAAGATCAGACATACTGGAAACGTGAGATTCTTCTTTGGCCAACGTTCTGGATTATGCTTAGGTCCCAAATTCTCAACTATATTTGATCCATTCATCGCTTTCAACAATGCAACCAATTCCCAATTGGTTCGAAGTGGCAACTCTTGACCACTCACATTCAGAATATACTTCCAAATAATCTCACTGTTATTTATCAACTTCTCTGCACAAAGGAGAAACACTTCAAGCACAGAGTAATATCCCCACTTCACATTCACACTTTCTGATCGATTCACTACTATCACATTTGAACCGAAACATCTGGCCAACTGCATCACTTCATCATAAAACAATTGTGGCGACTTAGAATCCACATGGATACAATACATATTATGTGATCTATAGATCAAACGGAGAAGACGAGCCGCCTGTTTAATATTCGCATGAACGGCAAGACTGAATGCTAGAGGGAATTGCTTCTCTTCCAATGTCGACTGAACAACTTCACCATGGAATAACTTGAATTCGTTGCATGTGTGTGGGTTCGTCAGGTTTGCGAAATTCCGATGTAATGGTGATTGAATATTTCTCACCACCATATACTCTAACCAACTCAAATTCTTTGAGAATAAGTATTGACAGATGTGGTTATTGACTTGATTGAATTCCGCCAACATATACTCATAATAAGCTGCATATGATATGTAATATGTAACTGTAAGCGATGTGATGAGTAATGAGATGGAACCGATCCAAATGAATTTGCGTCTCAGACGGTTTGTTTGGTAGTTTGTATTATGTTTAAAGTTTAATTTATTTGTAGCTGAGTAACTTGATGACTTGTATTCCATGTCGAATTTCAAGTGATTTAGCTTGGTTTCCTGTGTGATTATATGATTATCTTTTGATTGTTCACAATGAATGATTGATGAAATGAGTTCATAATTTTGACTATGAATGTGTAATAATCTCGACCAACTGATTCTTTTTATCACCAGTTCTAAATTAACAATTTATTTTTTCAATTTTTTTACGGTATATAATTGTTTACATTTTCCGTTTGAATCATTACTCCAATCTTGTTAAACTTCACTCTAACTCTAAGTTAACAATCGTCGCATTGTTTTCGTTTCAAATTACACTTATTCAAATCAATATATTTTTTATCTTCTATACATAATAGCTTTTGTTATGGTTTCTAAACAATTAAAACTGAAATCGATTATAGTGTTGTTTTGTTGTTTGCTCATGTTATTAGTTACGTGCAAAACTAAATACGAATATGAAAAGAACATTTGTGCCTTATAATTTTATCCAAGACTTGAGATAATTGGTGGGATAGGTAATTTAAAACCCTGAAATGGCTCTGTGCTGCCAAGGGTGGGGAGAGTTCACGCTGATTATCAAAATACTCTTATAGGTCTTAGCTTTAATCGCCACTACCACTGCCTTCACATGGCAAAAGACGTTGTTCACAAAATTTCGACAGCCAAATGTGAATGTCTGAGGCATGAACTAGGTTGGTGTGTATAGAGCATCCATCTAGGGTAATTGGAAATTCCTGGTTCTATACCACTGGTGTATGTGGGCTCCAGGATACTCGATGAAATAACATAGTGATCCTACCGCTAGCAACAATCTAGCAAGGGATCGCATTGCTTAATGTTGTGGGTTGGACCTGAAGGGTAAGTCCCTGAGGAGGTCGCTTAAAAATACTACCCACTTTGGTTCAGGCATCCGTGCAAACAAACTAAATGTTGACCCGATTTTCTGTATTTTCCTTCTTTTTAGATAGGTAGTTTAGCTGTCTAATGTTTCTGACGGAATTTGTATCGCTATTTATTTATTAGTACAAGTTCTGATCCATGAAGTTCCACGATAGTTGACGATATTGTCCAACTTTCTGGAGTATTTCCTGAATTAGTTGATATTATCATGATCTTTGTATGCTACCATATCTTGCCTGCGAAAATTGGATAATAAAAGAGAATTACAAATTGTTTCAGTTTCTCTAAAATAAATTGAAATTATTATTTTAATAAATTTTGGTAAGAAGTAGTTTCTAATGAGTGTAAATGTTTACAAACACAATAGCTATGGGGCTTATTCAATTTTCGTCTTTAAAGTATTCATTCTGTTGTTATTCATTGGTTATTGTCAGTTGACCAAAATGCTCACAAGTGCATAAACAAGTACTTCCTTATGTAAACAGAAATAAATTTACATTTACATACGAGTTAAACCATAAAGAAAGGTACATACTTCAAATGGTTACTTCCAATTCAGTCGCTCTAAATGCATATTGATTTTTACATTTATCATACCTCCCTCTGTTCTATAAAGTGATATTTAATTCACAATTTTACTAGGCAGTGCCTAAGTTTTTTCACATATTAATTTTCATGAATATCTACCTTAAAACATAACAAAGACTTTATAGTTTTAAGCGCTGAGTGACTCTAGTTAGACAGCCATTAAAATCCAGATGGTTTTTAACGGCTACTTTTTATGGGACCCGCCAGAAGTACAATATCCGGGAATATGACTCAGAATCGAATTCAGATTACTCAAGAATCAAGATGAGTACTTAACCTTCATATCACTAGGTTGACGTTTAGTAGCTTACATTTCAATCTTGACTCGTCATATTGTGCGATCATAGTAAATTGTTCTTGGTGACACCTGTTTTGCTCCAAACATTTTTGACTTTCATCCGTCATGGTTTCTCAGTATAACTCCTTGAGTTTCCACTCTAATTTAATCATGATCACCTTTTTGTCGTTATCTCATAAGAATGTAAATTTGTCCCCTACAGCAGTCACCAACACTTCCTGTCGGAAAATCTCATACCGAAAGGAAATCGAGGTCTTATGTTTCTCGGTTTTCAGTAGTTATCTAGCCAAGGTCATTCCATGGTGTTAACTAATAGCTTGCAATTCCCCACGAACCTCATACATACATCCGCCCACCAGTTTTCTCCATCCAACTCTGTCCTGGGCTTCCCTCTCCAGTTCTGTCCAATGTTTGTTCATTCCTCTCATATCTTTCTCTATTTCTCGGCGTAATGTGTTCCTTGACCTTCATCTTTTCCTTTTGCCTTAAGGGTTCCAGGTGCGGGCTTGTCTCGTGACGCAGTTAGGTGCTTTTCATAGTGTGTGTCCTATCCACTTCCGCCGCTTCTTCCTGATTTCCTCCTCCATTGGAATCTGACTTGTTCTCTCCCACAGTTCGTTGTTGCTGATGGTGTCTGGCCAACGAATACGAAGTATTTTGCGTAGACAACTGTTAATAAACACTTGTATCTTCTGGATGATGGCTTTGGTAGTTATCCAAGTTTCCATTCCATACAGTAGAACTGTCTTCACATTTGTATTGAAAATCCTGATTTTGGTATTTGTTGAAAGTTGTTTGGAGTTCTAGATATTTTTCAACTGTAGAAATGCAACCCTCGCTTTGCCAATCCGCGCCCTCACATCCGCATCGGATCCACCTTGGTTGTCGATGATGCTGCCCAGATATGTAAAGGTGTCAACGTCCTCCAAGGTATCTCCATCAAGAGTGATTTGGTTGGTGCATGTTGTGTTGCATCGGAGAATTTCGCTTTTTCCTTTATGTATGTTGAGACCTACTGCTGCAGAGCCTGCTGCTACGCTGGTCGTCTTCTCTTGCATTTGTTGTTGCGTATGCGATAGAATAGCCAGATCATCTGCGAAGTCCAGATCGTCCAGCTGCGTGCTAACTGTCCAGTTGATACCGTGCTTCCCTCCAGATGTCGACGTTTTCATAATCCAGTCGATCACCAGGAGCAAGAGAAAGGGTGAGAGTAAGCAACCATGCCTGACACCGGTCTTCACCTCGAAAGCGTCTGTTAGCTGTCCTCCGTGCACGATCTTGCAGTTGAATCCATCATAAGAATTCCGTATTTTGTCAACTATTTTCTCAGGTACACCGTAGTGTCGAAGAAGCCTCCACACTGTTTTCATATCAACGTTATCGAATGCTTTCTCGTAGTCGATGAAGTTGATGTAGAGTGGTGAGTTCCATTCAATTGATTGTTCCACAATGATCCGTAATGTAGCAATTTGGTCAGTACATGATCGATCTTTACGAAATCCGGACTGTTGATCTCGAAGTTGGGAGTCTACGAAGTCCTTCATTCTGTTTAACAATACCCTGATGAAGAATTTGCCTGGTATTGAAAGAAGAGTGATGCCTCTGTAGTTCTCACACTTGCTGAGATCGCCTTTCTTTGGTATTTTGATGAGGTATCCTTCTTTCCAATCTGATGGTACTTGTTCCTCATCCCAAATCTTCGTGAAGAGGATGTGAAATATTTTCGCAGTTGCTTCCACATCTGCTTTCATTGCCTCTGTTGGAATGTTGTCTGGTCCTGTCGATTTGCCACTCTTGATTTGTCTGATGGCCATATTGATCTCCTCAATTGTAGGTGCTCCGATATTAATTGGGAGGTTCGTGGATGCTGCTCCGATTTTGGGTGTGTTCAGTGGAGCTGGTCATTTCAGGAGTTCCTGAAAGTGCTCTACCCACCTATTTCGCTGTTCTTCAGTGTTACTGATTATTTTCCCTTCCTTGCTTTTCACTGGTCGTTCTGGTTTACGAGCTTCTTTGTTATATCGTACAGTTGTCTAAACTTTCCCTTTCTTGAAGCCTCTTCTGCCGTCATTGCTAGATCTTCCACATATTTTCGTTTGTCAGCTCTGATGCTCTTCTTCACTTCCCTGTTTGCTTCTGTGTATGCAGTTTGTGCGGTAACTTTCTCTGCTCTTGTTCATCTGACATTGATTTCTGCCCTCTTGTTGCTCCTTTCTTCAATTTTTGCAAGAGTATCAACAGACATCCAATCCTTGTGATGGTACTCCTTGTGACCCAGAACTTCGTGACATGTTGAAGTGATTGTCTTCTTGATGCCTTTCCAATTGTTCTCCAATGTTGTGTTCTCTTCATTGAGTAGATCCTGAAGGGCATGGAACCTATTGGTGAGGGCTATCTTGAATTCGCTGAGTTTTAAGATATCCGGAAGAAAGGCTGTATTAAACTTCTGTGATATTGTCTGCCCTGTTTTCCAGTGCTTCTTTAGTGTCAGTTTCATTTTGGCGACCAGCAAGCGGTGATCTGAGGCTGTTTCAGCTCCTCTCTTGATTCTGACATCTTCCGTAGTCCTTCTGAATGTTTTATTGATACAGATATGGTCAATTTGGTTTTGAGTAGTGTGGTTTGGTGAAATCCATGTGGCTTTGTGTATGCGTTTGTGAGGGAATATTGTGCCACCGATGACCAGTTTGTTGAAGGCACATAAGTTTGCAAATCTCTCACCATTTTCGTTTCTTTCTCCCAGTCCATGTCGTCCCATGATGTCTTCATATCCAGTGTAGTCCATTCCAACCTTGGCATTCAGGTCTCCCATAAGAATCGTCAAATCCTTTGATGAGCATCTGTCGACGATTGACTGAAGCCTTTCGTAGAATTGATCTTTAGTCATTGGTAGTGCATAGCATTGGGTGACGTTAATTGTAATTTCGTCTTTCTTTGTTTTCAAGGATGCTTCAATGATCCTGGGTCCATGAGATTCCCATTCTATCAGTGCCTTTTGTGCATGTTTGGACAGCATCAGTGCAACTCCTTGTGTATGTGAAGCAGTTCCCCTGAAGCTAGTCTCAGTTGTCCTACCTGTGTCCAATGCGTTTCTTTGATTCCAAGCACCTTATTTCTGCCGCAACTTGAAATAGTCTTCCAATCTCTCACAATGTACGAACGTTCTATATATCTAAAAGAATGATTACTCTGGTTGTCAGAAGAGGCATCGGCCTCGTGACTTCCGAGGTAACTCGGCTTTTATCACACGACGTCATAATTCTTATTCCGACTAGCAGGGCAGAGTTAAAATGGTCTGATTTATTTTTTCTAGTTAGCGTTTTTTGGCAAGTTAGTTAATAGTGGGGATGGGGGCGCCAACCCTATGTTCAACCCCTCCTCCTTTGTTCGGGCTTGGGACCGGGAGAAGCCCCGAAGGTTCTACTGGCGGAGTCCGAAGGTTACCGAGCCGAACATTTAATCTTTGGGTTAACTTGTCCTCGATTGAAAAACATACACTTATTTAATAGCTTTATTGACAGGAATCCATCAGAGCAATTAATAGGGGTGTTAAATTTGAAACAGCATAAATACATGGATAGTTATGAAATTGAAGATGACTTATGATGAAATTAAAATAATGACTGAAATCAATACACTTTAGTATCTTTATTATAGACAAGAAAATTTCGATTTTTTTTAGGACTGAAACATTGATTAAAGTATGGTGATTCAATAAATAAGGCAAGTTGTTGATAGTTTTTTAAAATGTTTGTTTTACACTCATAATACAGACAGATATAGAAGAGTAATTTTTCTTTAACTAACGTATGGAAAACCCAGATACTATTTATAAATGCTACCATATAATAAATTTTTTCAATCGAATCAAAAAATGAATAATTTAAAATGAAAAAAATTGACTCAGTGAATTAATGATTTTGGTACGAATAATTATAAAACTTAAATTCAACTACATTAAACAAATAATTATGCAACCAACTCGAAATGCTTAAAACAGTAACACATAAATAAGATTAGTTAGCAGAAAATAAAAAAACAAAACCAAGCATTCGTTACATTTAATAGCACTGTAGAAAACAACATTATGTTTGTGAAAACAATCATTCATGCATACACATGCTGTGAATCATTGAGATAAGTGGATTTGACGGTAAATAAACATTGATATGTGGAATATGAGTACAAATGACTTCAAGTAGAGTTTCAGTTCTAAAGCTATTTTGCATCAGTTTAAAAATACAAAGTCCATAAACATGATTATATAATTTGAAAAATCATCATTATTATCGATACAAACAGTCAAAATTATGAACTCATTTCATCAATCATTCATTGTGAACAATCAAAAGATAATCATATAATCACACAGGAAACCAAGCTAAATCACTTGAAATTCGACATGGAATACAAGTCATCAAATTACTCAGCTACAAATAAATTAAACTTTAAACATAATACAAACTACCAAACAAACCGTCTGAGACGCAAATTCATTTGGATCGGTTCCATCTCATTACTCATCACATCGCTTACAGTTACATATTACATATCATATGCAGCTTATTATGAGTATATGTTGGCGGAATTCAATCAAGTCAATAACCACATCTGTCAATACTTATTCTCAAAGAATTTGAGTTGGTTAGAGTATATGGTGGTGAGAAATATTCAATCACCATTACATCGGAATTTCGCAAACCTGACGAACCCACACACATGCAACGAATTCAAGTTATTCCATGGTGAAGTTGTTCAGTCGACATTGGAAGAGAAGCAATTCCCTCTAGCATTCAGTCTTGCCGTTCATGCGAATATTAAACAGGCGGCTCGTCTTCTCCGTTTGATCTATAGATCACATAATATGTATTGTATTCATGTGGATTCTAAGTCGCCACGATTGTTTTATGATGAAGTGATGCAGTTGGCCAGATGTTTCGGTTCAAATGTGATAGTAGTGAATCGATCAGAAAGTGTGAATGTGAAGTGGGGATATTACTCTGTGCTTGAAGTGTTTCTCCTTTGTGCAGAGAAGTTGATAAATAACAGTGAGATTATTTGGAAGTATATTCTGAATGTGAGTGGTCAAGAGTTGCCACTTCGAACCAATTGGGAATTGGTTGCATTGTTGAAAGCGATGAATGGATCAAATATAGTTGAGAATTTGGGACCTAAGCATAATCCAGAACGTTGGCCAAAGAAGAATCTCACGTTTCCAGTATGTCTGATCTTTTTGTTTTCATTCACTATACATAGTGCTGTTTTATTTGATTTTAATCATTCAAATAAATTTATCGAAACGAGATGAATGAGTGATAGCTTAAAATTATTACGTTTTATGTGCAAGAACTTCCTTTCAATTCGCATAGTGCTAACAGTAAGTTGCATCCTTTATATTGGTGATTTATGGGCGTAGTCATATAGAACATTACGTGCGCTATTCATAGCCACTCGGATATTTCTTAACATCATAAATTGTTTGTACATTGGCTATCTCTTCGGATAATATCAATGAAGAGTAAATTGAGTGGGATGAGTCTCAATGGCATTCACTGGATTAAATGGACCTTGTATGCTTGAGCTTCGGGAAAGATGTCTATATAATTATTCAAACACAATCTTTCAACACTCTGTGTCTACTCTTGAAATTCACTCAAAAATAACGAAACCCGTGTTAAATGTTTGGCTTCAAGTCAGATCAAGCTGTTAGGAATGATGACTAATAATTAAGGATTAAAATGCAAAACTTGGATTGGTCTCAAAACACATAACAGTTAAAATAAATGAAAATACAAACAAAGCAACAGGTATATTTCAATAACAGACAGAATTATGTCTAATTGTATCGACAAGATTTTGTGACACTACTAAACTTCTCAATATGTGAGTAGTGCAATAAGTAGCAAGTCGATCAGCTAACGATGTCGAATTTGTGTTTCAGTGAAATTTGCAAACGTCAGTAAACAATAGAGTTCCGATTATATTTTCTTTCAATAAACAAATACTACTAAATAGTGTACGGTTCATTCGCATTAACGAAATGCAATAGTTATCAACATCTTTCACACTTCATAATGAATCATGTTCTCTAGTTTTTAGAAAAGGTGTTTGTTTTCTGACCATTCACAGTACTCATCGGTTGTGTTGTACTGACGAATTCGTGACACGTTAGAGTAATTGCACTCTCCTTCTTCCTCAGTGATCCTGGTCATTGATTGTTGGAGCATTTGTGATGTTGAGCATGCGTATTATTGATAAGTTCACAAAACTGTCGAAACTCTTACTCAAGCCTCTCTAATTTTAAAACTCAGTTCAGTCATTCTACAATTTTGTATTGAACCTACTATCATCGAATTAGAGTAATCACAAGTTTCCAACCATATTGTTCACAATTTCCAGATAATTTGGAGTAAAGGCAGCTTTTACATGGCATTGAAGCGGGATTTTGTTCATTTCTACCAAACCGATCCAAAGGCAAAGGAAATACTAGATGCGTTAAAAGCTGAGAGGAAAGAGATGAAGCATCCAGATGAGTTGTTTTTCTCTACATTGAATTCCAATCCGTTGCTTGGAGCGCCTGGTTCCTGCAATCAAACATATCTTACTTCCGACGCAGATGTACGATCGAAATACATAGGACGTTATGTGAAGTGGGACAAAAGACGCTGTAGACGTGGAAGAATTCGCCATGGTATATGTCTTATTGGTATCTCCATTCTTCCATACATTCCGGAACGAATGGAACTATTTGCTAACAAATTCAGTGAAACATTTGAACCGATCGCTTATGATTGTACAGAGAATTATATTATGGAAAAGGTTCTGACCGAAATGAAAACTCATCAACTCAATCCAAATTTTAATGTGAGCTTTTACTCACAACTCTATTGTTCACAAGATCACGTGCACTGAACACAAGTAAGATGGATCAATCAGTTACTGGTTGACATTGTTGTTGCAAACGTTTTTGAGAAACTGTGTGATTGATCATTGATATTTTACCACCCTTTTTAAAATTCGTCTTCATTTCTTTCTCAGTGCAATTGTTTATTATGTTCTGTTCATAGGAGTGTCGAAACAATTTCTGTTAAGACTCAACACCTATGAAATCATTCAGACATCAGTTAGTTGCTTGATTCAGTTTGATCTGTCTAATAATTTTATTAGAGATTCAATTCTCACGGTGGTCATAATTGTCAGCTTGATAAATGAAATTCTAAATGTCGAATTTGAGTAATTGTAGTAAGATTATGATCCGATGTGTTAGGTCTGCCACATTTGCGTTAGGCATTTGTATTATTGTTCTAGAAAATTAAGTGGAAATCGTGCAACCAACAACGAAATTCTTACATCTCACTAGTTGGAAACCTGACATCATTGATTACACTTTGAATTAAGGTCACTAGTCAATTTTATCATCCATTAGGAAACATCCAACTACAATATCCGGTCGGCAGTATGGTGAACAATGTGACGGACAGCAATACACATTTGGGATTTTCAATATCAAGTTGTTTTTAGTGTGTTGATCTAGGTCCGTAGGTTCAAAGATCACCTAACTACTACTACTAGTGGATGTTGTAGTTTGTTTGATGCTGAAATCCATGTTCAACCAACAATGACTTCCATCACAATCATCAAAAATATTCCTTCCAAATTATTTTCCAATCACTCATGAAATGAAGATGTCTGAAACTACTACAGGTCAAAAATTACCAACTAAAGTTGATTATATTATTCAGTGTTTGTCAGAATAATGTAGAATTTCAATAGTCGAAAAAACTGGTTATTTCAAATAATAGATACTGGTTAGTTATTTGTCACACGTCTATTAATTTTGGACAGAATTAGATCAGCATCAACCAAACGTGTAAGTATTAGTAATGATAGAAAGTAAAGTCACATGAGTTTCAATTAGCTTACAGTCGATAAACGGGTGTGGTTTGTCATGACATGTAACATCGGTGGTCAGACACTCACAAAATCTGTTAAGGGCCATAGTCGTAATAGAATAAAGATTGAGAAGAAAAGAGCTAGCGAAAATAGACAAACGGGCTAGTGGATTCATGCACCAGTACGCAGGTATATTTATACATTCCAAAATATCTTCAATTAAATCTATTACTCTCGAGATAATTTTTGACAACACCCTTTCTAACATTGAAAGTTATCCATGATTAAGTATCTTTTCCAGTGCCATCAGTACTTGATTTGTTCATGTTAAGTTTCAATGCAAAGATGAAAATGGACATGATGAGTTTCCGTTTCTGTAAGTTTAGTTTAAGTGCATTTGAATGAAAGGTTGTTTTTAACCATATTTTGTCAACTGATATAAATCAAATGGTACAAGTTGTAGAGACTGCTCGATCTATTGAGTGGTAAACTCCATGGAAGGAACATGTCTGTTGGTCTACTGAGTTCGTGGACATATACTCACTTATCATTACACAAAATCAATCGTTTCTTTAGCCGACATGATACACTCGTCCTTTATGGCATATCTGTTTAGCATCAAGTGACCATCTGATTTGGATTCTTCTGATTGGCCCACTAAATCGCTGTGTACTCTGCGAATTGTGTAATTATTTGGAAGGATAATAAGTACGTAGAGGATTAAAATATATACTTGTAGGCAGACCAGTAAATTGATACATTGAGAAATGAGGATAACTGGATAGAAGTAGATGTTAGGTGCAGCAATGTGTTACATCCACTAGGACATATTGTTCATGGAGATGAATAAATATACTCCAACTACTTTATTACATCAAGTAGTGTAACTTGAAACATAAAAGACATGTGAGTGTAAACGAACAGCCTTCATTCTACTGTGCACAGTGATGTATTCGAAGCATTTCTCACACTGGCATCGAAATAACACAATTTTATGAACGGATTGTCAGGATAGAACCTTGTAGAAAAGGTTTGGCTGTTCAAACTTTTGCTGAAATATTGGAAACGGTAATTTTTGAACTCTTTTCGATGAAGTTAAATTAAATGTGCAGATAGAATGTTAGTTTAGGAATTTACCAGTATTTTCTCCACAAGTAGCCATACACGCATTTTTCGATAAAAGGAACAAGTATATTAGAATTATCGTCCATTTTAATGGATTTTTGTCGGTATCATTGAAGTAAAGTACAGTTGTGACTGATCATATTTCATGGTGAAATTGATATTCGACTCTAATATCTCACAGATGCACTACTAATAGTATTGCTTTCGTCCAATTTTCTCACCAATATATTATATTCACTAGGAGAACGTACAGTGAAATATAATGAGAACTAGCGCCTTTTTACTCACGTCCTTACACATTTTACTTTTGAATTTGTGATTATTTTTCGTCTAACGATTGTTCTATCGACCAATGAAAGCTAAGCATTCTCTTCTCCAGTGCCATCAGTACTTGATTTGTTCATGTTAAGTTTCAATGCAAAGATGAAAATGGACATGATGAGTTTCCGTTTCTGTAAGTTTAGTTTAAGTTCATTTGAAAGAAATGTTGTTTTTAACCATACTTCGTCAACTGATATAAACCAACTGCAACAAGTTCTAGAGACTGCTCAATCTTTGTGGTTCTACTATCTATGTTGGTTTTATTATAAATTGGAATTTTCAAACGTTATCTGCATTGTTCAATACATATCTCACTACTTCATTGCTGAATTGACATATGTTTTACATTCGGACTTTTGTTTTTATATTGTATGTATTTCAGCTTCCTTGAACTTCCTATTTACATATTTACAAAAATGTTGTCATATTTTAATTTTATTGTCTGTTTATGTGAATGTTTCTTAAATCGTCTGATCATTCCAAATATTTTGTGTACATATTTCATTTTTTCTCGTTATCTTTGATTTTGTTTTCAATAACATTTATGTTTTTTCTATTATTATGATAAGAACTTTCAAATGCCTGAACTGTGTACATTTAACGGTACGAATAAAACAATCATCTCTTTACTTTTCATATGGAATAAATGTAATTTGACTGCGACTGGGATGTACAACACGCATCTCGTCCTTTATAGGACAATCCATTTTTATGCGCCTGCCTATCAGAGTTGCGGCTCACTTCAGTACTCTAGCTTAATACCGTTTACTGACTAAGATTGTTCATATTTCAGTCAAAATATGATCAGTGATATAGGTTGAACTTAATCTTAACCTCATCAATAAACTTCATCAATTAATTTTCAATAAAGTATGATTCAATCTGAAAATGTGAACGCTCATTGAAATTTAATTTCCAACGAAAATTCCTGTATGCATTGACTAAAACGTCGAAATGAATGAACTTAATACGTGATTAAATTAAACTTAAAACAATATACAATAAACTGAAAGGTTAAAGAGTACTTTATCAAATATCTATTTACAAAAATATTATTGTTTAACTGTTGTACTCTTATTTCGATTAGTTGGTTTGAAAGTCCTTTCACCAATTATTCAAATATTCGAATTCAAACTCAGCAAGCTGTAAAATATTTTAGTCAAAAACTTCTTAACTCTGATTATTTCATTACTTTCTAGATGATCACTAGTGAAAATGTTTGTATGAAAATTGATCTTAATGGATCATATGCAAATGTTTTTAATCTTATTGTTAACTCTCAGTTTCCATATTATTCTCTATTTTTGTTCAGTGTGTTCGTTTGTTCTTTGCAAATTGAGTTCTCCGTGTCTTGGTATATTTTATTTGTTATTACGCACTACTGAATTATTACAAACTCTTTAGTATTAATTTTGGTTAGTTTAATCTGATTTGTCAGTTTAAGAATATTTATTTCAGATTTTATCATGATTCAGATAGTTTAATGAGAGTTTATTGCTTCTTGACCAAATTACAGTATGTTATGATTAATTGATTACTCAATGTATTTCTAAAATTATAGATTGATTTTTTGAAGTATTGATTTGTCTTTATGGAAACGTTTAATTGTGTGCATGTGTGACCTATCTGCACAAAATGGATCGATAAGTCTGAAGAGAAAATAATGACAAACAATTAAATGAAACAATGACCGATTTAATCTACAAGTAAATATGCTTACGAAATTCGGTGTAACAACACAATTTCAATACATTTTCAATGACCGATAGAAATTTTTCAAAAAATACCATATAAAACCATTCATAAAATAAAATCTATCGAAAATTGATGACAAACAGTAAATATTAAATAATTAATAATCATTTCATGAATAAATTAATTACATGGTTAAACAGTGAACAGTTTAAATGATAAAATAACCCATTACTTAAATTACTGATTTTTCTATTTCGCTTTTTGAACTTTATTTACTTGTAACAATTTCCTATATTTGTAACGATGTTTTATGTACGATATTTTTAAGTTATTCTAATTAACTACTTTCTGATTAATGTTTTTTTTTGCAAAAAAGAACAATCAGCAATGGAGCTTTTGTTTCAATATATATTGGTGTTGAGACTTAATAACTCAGTGAACTACTGAAGTACATTGAATTTCATAATGATTGTAATAGTTCTAATTAAATGGAATAGATAAATCTAACATAGAATTATCCTATCTGAACATTCGCTTACATCTGTGTATTATGCAGTTGAATAGAAATTGTATATCAAGTATCAAAACATCATCAATTGTCTTTTATCATTTTGTTTTCGTTATTGCTCTAGAAAAGCTCAGATGAGTTTATGGAAGAAAACGTTGAAATTATTGAAATTTCAACCATGGTCAATCACTTATCTGTGAGATTAACGCGTATTAATTTATTGCTATATATCATCATATCGAGATAATTGTACAAAATATACAGAATAAGTTTTATAAATATTTATTGATTTCTGTTAATTTTATATAATGTAGGGTGTCTTCATCAATGATTTTGAAATAGTTTGTAAGGTAATCCGATCATACATGTTTTATGTTGATTCCAGAATGAAAATATGTAAAATGCATATAGTGTACTAAAAGTTCACTAAATTACTTTCAGATTGTTGAATCGTTTACATAATTTCTTCTTTTTAATTTAATGAATAGTG